TTGTTCATGAAAATGGGGGCGCACCGGCCATGTTAATGGGGGTAAGAAAATAAGATACATATTTATTGTCCAGATCCTGGCACATTGGTTTGGTGTGTCACCACGAACACACATAAAATACACACACACTCACACAAGCAAACAAACACACTCACCCACACACAAACACACACACACACACACACACACACACACACACACACACACACACACACAAACATGAATACATACGCGGGCTTACAGTCACATGCATAATATAAATGAACAGTAAAAAACAATAATAATCTTAAGCTAGGTACATACTCAGTCTTCTGACTGAAACTCAATGTTATTCTGATGCATGCTCTAAGGTCATATGAATACTTGTAACAAGATGGTTTAAGATGGAAGACTGTTGGTAGATGATGCTAAAATTGACCTTCTTTCTTTGTTACAGATCAGAAGCCTAGGTCTTTTACTTCTGACTGATGCTTTTATTTGAGGGAACAGGGGATGTTTATTGTCCAAGAGGATAGAATTGGTTTTTCTTTGTGCAAGCTGTAATGTACAATTCATCCAACTAGGGGGCTGTAGAGGGGACCCCTACCTGGGTCGTGCGACGTCACTGCCGTGAGCTCTAGCATTCTATTTATATAACCTCTTTGCCCCCTCAGCGCTCAGCGTGGCGTGGACTACTTCCGCAAGCCCGAGGACGCCATGAGGTGGCCGGTCATGGTCAACGTCATCCTGTGGCTACTAGCCACTGTGCCTGTGTCCAAGTATGCGCAGAACCGACATTTGACCACTCGCTTGTTCAACCGCACAGAGTAGGTTTCTCAGCGACACTTGGACTAAAGTGAATATTATATCGAAAGAACACGACTTGTTAGCTGAGAGCTAGAGGCAATTACAATTTTGTTGTTGTTGTTGTTGTTGTTGTTGTTGTTGTTGTTGTTGTTGTTGTTGTTGTTGTTGTTGAATTTAGTTGTTTTAAAGACAGACTGAACAACATATGAAATACGTCATTATTTCTTGTCGCTGTTGTTACTGTTGTTGTTTTTGGTGGTGGTGGTGTTGGTGGTGGTTATGTTTTACACATCATTCAAAATTATTTAGATCAGTGCTCGCAAACCTGAGTGATACCTCCCATTAGTGAGTGATTTGGTGACATTGGTTATCGGTGTGGGGGTACCTGAGTTGTAACAGGTATCATTTAATGCCCCGTCTTCGAAATACATGCTGGAAGGCGGCACGCAATTTCTTTGCCTCTTAAAGATTAAGTGGGCAGTAGAAATGTCTGTAGACACTGATTTAGATGATTAAACGGGCGGGTGTCTACGCTCTTGCCAACAATCCTGTCTTTAGGGTCAGACCTGGTTGAGGAGGATACCACGTCATAGTAGAAAGATCGAGACATTCGATAATTAATAGTTGGTTCTCCCACACGGAAATTAAACTCAGGTCTTCATTGGTTACGGTGCAAAGCCTAACCGCTACACAATGGACGCAACTTTAAAAACAGTACAATATTTAGACCGAAAATTGTCTAGTCTTTAACTCCCTAACATTAGACGACGCACGCCACCATTAAACTACGATATGGAGAGGGGGGGTGGGTCGGAATGTATCCATGCATTTGTTGATTTATTTTCTCACAATGAACGATATAATAATAATATGTACATGTATATAATATATGGAAACTTTAAATCAGGCGAGGGGGAAGGGGGGTACTTGTTTATCTCTAGGTGTGTTTTGTTTGCTTTTTAAACGTAACCCTCAAAACAGGCATCATTAATACAATAATTTCGAGTCGCTGTCAATGGGACAAGACAAGGGAAACAACTCCCGCTTTACCTACAACACATTTCCCTAAATTGAGGTAGTTGCCCTTGCTAGTGACGAGCCGTTTTGTCGTTTACGAGGCTCCGTCTTCCGTCTCCATCATTTAAAATGTATTATCTTCAAAGAAGTGTAGATAAATACCATAGTTTAACTCAGATTCATTTAATGGGTTCTTTGTTCTCTCTCTCTCTCTCTCTCTCTCTCTCTCTCTCTCTCTCTCTCTCTCTCTCTCTCTCTCTCTCTCTCTCTCTCTCTCTCTCTCTCTTCT